CTCCCCTTCCCTCCCCTTTATTCCCCCATCTCTCTGTCTCTTTCTAGAAATTCACTCCTAGAACCATAATTTCTCTTGGTGAGAATGAAGAAAGCACTTCCTTTGCTTGTGTATCTTGGTGATTAAATAAAATTACTGATGTAAAGCATGAAATATAGAACTTGACATACAGTATGGAATAAAAAAAGAGTTACACTGCTAAGTGTTTTGAAACTGACAAATTAAGTCAATGTCAGAACTGAAAAATTATGTCTAGTTCTTAAAAATCTTTATGTCCTTTGGATGACAGAGTCTTAGTTTCTGAGCATAGCCTGGGATGTTTCATGCTATCCCTACAATCCTCCCCTATTTCTATCCTCAACTTGCAGAATGCCTTAGAGCTGACCTGTTCACTGTACCGGTAACACGTTTCCCTTCCCAGCCCACTGCTGTTTCCAAGGCAGGTCTGGAGGATGTTTGTGGACTGAGAGGCTGTGGCTCTGCATTGATGTGGGTGGTGAGCTGGCACAGAAATAAGCTGCTGAGTCTTCTTGCTCTGCCTGCTGGATCCTCAAGATGCTGGGGCCTTCTTTGGGAAATTCAGCAGAAAACTGTTCCTTTGGCATTCCTGACTCATCTATGATTTTTTCTTTCTGGAGATAAACCATGAATTTCAGACCTTCCTCTGGGAGCTGCCGATACCAATAAACATGACTGTGTTCTTTCGTTGGGCTGCATCTCAGTCTTGCCTCCTGTCCCCTCCTCCTGACCAGGTGTCTTGGGTTCTGTGTGATGCCGGCATTTGAGAGACCTCAGAGGAGAAGAGACTGCATGAGACAGAGTTGTAATGGCAGAAGGATGAATGTCTTACAGTGAAGAAGCCTGTTTGAAGTCTCCTGCATTCCTTTAAAAACTCACATGAATTTTGCTTTTTACTCCATAATGCAATTATTTGTTTTCATATAAATGTCAATACCTTTCACAAAATCTTTGGTCAACACAGAGGCCCAGGGTATATTTGAGACTCTGCTGTAGAGCCCAAAATGAAGCCCAGTGATGGTGATCCTTTAGTTCAAAACTCACCTGTCCCTAGAGGACAGATGACCACACAGGAGAGGACTCTGGTGTCCATGGCAGAGTTGGGCATGGAGGGAGCCCACAGGCAGGGCTGGGAAGGCAGTTGCTGCAGCACGTCAGGGAACCAGACCTCACAGCTGCCGCCTACAAGACGCATCTTCCTGTGAGGTCACATTTCCAGTGGGTCCTATGGTTTCTAGAACCAATCTTGTATGTCAGTTAAATGGTAGATCTTACAGACTACAGGGCACCATACCCAGATCATGTATACTTTTATTTTTATTTTTTCCACAAATGAGGTCTTGCTGTTTGCCCAGGCTGGTTCCAAATTCCTGGGCTCAAACAAATCCTCCCACCTCAGCTTCCCAAGTAGCTGATCTCTCCACTATTCTTATTTTTTGTTCCTTTATTTTCCTTTTATTGACTCATATCATCTTTCTATTTTCTGGCTGTTGCTGAGTAGAGGTATTGACAAGGGGTGATATATAGATGCGCCCATTAAGAGACAGGGAAGTGGACACCAACACTGCTGGAGGGAAAATTAGAGACACAATGATTTGACATTGTTTCAGTTTGCTTTTTTGCTCCCACACCTCATCTAAGGGATGGTTTCAAGCATTTTGAGGGAACTTTAAGATTTGTAATTCACTTCTGTCACCTTTGCTTATTCCACTTGAATTTTCGATATAAGTAATTCCAAGAGCAAACCCTAGAAAAACTTCCCCCTCTGACTTCAGGTCCCGTTCTTCTGCATACCTATCAGGTCCCCTTATTCTGTAGTCATGCATGGGATGCCTGTGTTCGAGAGATCTTCCTTCCTCCTTTTTTTTTTTTTTTTGAGACGGAGTCTCGCTCTGTTGCCCAGAGTGCAGTGGCGCGATCTCGGCTCACTGCAAGCTCCACCTCCCGGGTTCACCCCATTCTCCTGCCTTAGCCTCCCGAATAGCTGGGACTAGAGGTGCCTGCCACCATGCCTGACTAATTTTTAGTAGGGACGGGGTTTCTCCATGTTAGCCAGGATGGTCTCCATCTCCTGACTTCATGATCTGCCCACCTCGGCCTCCCAAAGTGCTGGGATTACAGGCGTGAGCCACTGCGCCCAGCCCCTTCCTCCCATTTTTGTGTCCTTTCTTATCCTGTAGCATTGAATAAAAATTATGTGAAGGTCTACTTTGTCCCAGGCATAGTGAAAGAAAGACACAGGAAGGAAGGCACAATCTCACTCCATTGGATAGGCACCCCAGAGGAGTTAGGTGTGTGACTTGTGCCTCTAGGACCCTCCACACTTTGGCTAATAAATAAGATCATGTTAACGTTTAGTGTCCAAATAATAATGACTCATGGTCTTACTCATATCAGGATCTTAGAGATCCAAAAATATAGTCTTTTTTCTGATGTTGGAGCTGTAATTTTGAATATTTTCATGTTGAGGTGTCAACATTTTTTTAAAAATTGAAATATAATTTACATGCCATAACATCCACCCTTTTGAATATATAATTCAGTGGTTTTTAGTATATTCATAAAGCTGCAACCATCACCATAAATTCCAGAATATTTCTATCACCCCAGAAAGAAATTCTTTGTCATTAGATGTCATTTCAAATTTGTGCCTTCCCACAGCCCATGGCAATCATTACTCTATTTTCTGTCTTTAAGGATTTGCCTATTTTAGACTTTTTTTTTTTTTTTTTTTTTTTTTGAGACGGAGTCTTGCTCTATTTCCAGGCTGGAGCGCAGTGGTGCGATCTCAGCTCACTGCAACCTCTGCCTCCCGGGTTTAAGTGATTCTCCTGCCTCAGCCTCCCGAGTAACTGGGACTATAGGCGTGCACCACCACGCCCAGCTAATTTTTGTATTTTTAGTAGAGACGGGGTTTCACCACGTTGGCTAGGATGACCTCGTGATCCACGCGCCTCAGCCTCCCAACGTGCTGGGATTACAGGCGTGAGTCACTGCACCCAGTCTATTCTAGACATTTTATATAAATGAAGTCCAACAATATGTGCCCCTTTGTGCCTGCCTTCTTTGCTTTGTATAGCTTTTCAATGTTCATCCATGGTATAGCATGTATCAATGCTTTGTTCCTTTTTATGACCAGTTTTGTTTTATAAATCTATTTAGTTAATCCACTCATCAATTGATGGATATTTTTACTTTTTGACTAATATGAATAATACTGTTTGAAATGTGTGTATAAATTTTTTATGTGAATATATTTTTTATTGTCTTGGGGGTATACCTAGGAGAAGAATGGCTGGGTTACACAGTCATTCTATGTTTAACTTTTGAGTAACTGCTGGACTGTTTTACACAATGGCACCAGCAATTCTTGAGAGTCCCGATTTCCTCACATCTATGCCTACACCTGTTATTGTCTGGGTATCTTTATTACAGTCTACTGGGTGTGAAGTGGTATCTCATTGTGATTTTGATTTGAGTTTCACTAACAACTAATGATGCTGAGCATCTTTCATGTAGTTTTTGGCCATTTGCAGATATTTGTTGGAGACATGTTTAGATCCTTTCTCATTTTTAAATTAGATTATTTGTCTTTTTATTATTGAGTTGTGAGAGTTCTTTATATATCCTTGATACAATTCCCTGTGAGATATATGATTTGCAAGTATATATCCATTTTGGGGTTGTCTTTCTTGAAAGTGTCCTTTGAAGCGCAGACTTTAAAAAAATTGATTAAGTCCAATTTGTCTTTTTCTTTGGTTGCCTGTGTTTTGAGTTTCATATTTAAGAAGTCACTGCCTACTGTGAAGGATAAGTCCCTGGATGGCCTTGGCAATGCGGATCCTCCTTTTCTCTTTTATAGTTCTTAAGAATAACTGTAGGATGTGCTAGCAATACCACATCCTGTGATAAAGAGGAACTGGCAGGAAAATCCCGGCCTCTGTTCTTGTCTCTCCTGGAACAGGATGTCCTGCAGTGCTTTAACCCATTAAATGTAGCCCCTGGATTTAAAACCCAGGGCAGAGTGCATTTTCAGAGTCTCTCAGCTGCAGTGCAACATGAGGCATATGCAGGCAAGATTCCATCCATTCTGAGTAGTTTTTCTGAGCCTTGGGAGACAAACTTACCATGAATCCTAAGCTTCTACTGTCTTTTGCTGCCTATCTGTGAGTAATACAGTTGCTTTGCTCAACTTGTTATATGAATCATGCAAGTGATGGAAATTGCAGTTCAAGATGCAGTGGGCTAAAGTGGTGGTTGGCATGGCGATGACCTCCGCTATCCTTCATGCATTTCTCTCTGGAAAATTAACACAACACCCTGGGATTAGTAACAGTGCACAGCAAATCTGCTTCACATATACCTGTGAGAATAGATAGTCAGGCAGATAAGAGCAGGGCAAGAGAGACGTGCCCCCTAGCCACCACACACACACACCAGAATGTCAGGTGATCATCAGGTGATGCTCAGGTGACTGTCTCTCAAAGATGGTAATTGGTCACAGTCAGCATCAGGGAAAGACAATTTCCACATAGATAAAAAACATCTGGAGCTGGTGATCAGCAGTTTCCTGATAAGATCTCTGGAGTTGGGCAGGTGGGCTTAAGCATGTGCACAGAGGCTAAATGGCGGAGTTTAACTAACATATGACTCTATGAACACCCCACTGGTGAAGGAAAGATGCCTCAAGTGAGCATGCGCACAACTCCAGTAAGAACACTACACGCGCAGCCCCTCCCAAGTGCTGACAGGCCAGTGAGTACACAGACAGCTTGCCCCAAGGAAAAAGCATCAAAGGAGGAGAAACACAAACCCTAGAACCATGGTGATGTGTAAAACCCCAAGTCAAGGGCTAACCAGGGCACTTAGGTCTCTCAGGTTGCCCACTTGGCCCTCTTCCAAGAGTACTTTGCTTCCTTTACTCCTGCTTTAAAACTTGCCTGGGTCTTTCCTCTGCCTTAAACTTCTGTCCCTTGGCCAAATTCTTTCCTCCTAGGAGGCGAGAATTGAGTTTGCTGCAGACCCATATGGATTTGCTGCTGGTTACATACACACCAAGGCCACAAATATGTATACCTATGCCTTCTTCCCAGAGTTTTAGCTTTTACATTTAAGTCTTTAATTCATTTTGAGTTATTTTTGTTTATGGTATGAGACAAGATCCAACTTCACTCTTTTGCACATACATACACAGTTTTCTCAGTACCATTTACCATTCTTTCCCCATTGAATGGTCTTGGCTGGCACTCTTGTCTAAAATTAATTGCCCACAAATTTATGAATTTATTTGAGGGTTCTCAATTCTATTCCATTGATCTATATGTTTATCCTGTTCCAGAACCATACTGTTTTGAATAATGTAGTTTAGTAATAAGCTTTGAAATTTTGAAGCGTGAGTTACCCAACATTTTTTCTACTTTTACAACATTGTTTTGGATGATCTTGGTATTTGGGCCTTCCATGTGAATTTTTACTTTGTTTTGTCAATTTCCAAAAAAAAAAAATTTACAACTAGAATTTTGAAATTTTGATAGAGATGAATCTATAGATCAATTTGGGGAGTGTTGCCACATAACAATGTTAAGTCCTCCAATCCATGAACATAGAGTATCTTTCTATTAGGTCTTCAATTTCAACAATATTTTGCACCTTTCAGTCTACAAGTCTTTTCTGTTTTTTTTTTGTTTAATTTATGCCAAGATATTTTATTATTTTGTTGCAATTATTCACATGATTCTGCTCTTAATTTCATTTTCATCTCATTGCTAACATATAGACACACAACAGAACTTTTGGTATTAATCTTTTATTCTGCACCTTGCTGAACTTGCCTATTAAATCTAGTGGAGTTGTATGTGTACATGTGTATGTGTGTGAGAATTCATATTTTCTGTATACAAGATTATGTCAAGTGTCAACTGTAATTAGAGATTATTTTATGTCTTCCTTTCTAGTCTGATTGTCTCTTATTTTCTTAAAATGACTAATTTCTCTGGCTAGAATGAGGTTGTTGCATGTTGACTTTTTTTCTTTCAGTACTTTAAAAATGATGCTTTTCTATTTTTTCCACTGGATACCCCAGAAAAAAAATTGTCTGTACTTTGCTAGACTCACCTGCTCCCAATAGACAAAAGCTTTATGGAAGAATTTCCACTCACCCATTACAGAGTGTGGCAGAGAATGCACACCTGCAGCTTCAGGTACCAGCTCTGAGAATGGTGAGAAA